GAGTGATAAGCAGATCATATTCGAGCTTCGATAGTATGATTGATGAAGTCCTTAGGGCTTCATTTTGGGGAAAACTTCCCCATAGTTCTGTTCGTAAAACGCCCAACGATATAAGTGAAGCTATAAAATACCCAATCAGCAACGAAGCAAAAAGAAAGCTTGTCGAAAGACTGAATATGAGCTATGTGAATATGTGATTAGTTTGGCATGATTCTAAGAGGATCACTGGTTGTGGTCAGTGGAAGCAACCACCGTTGGTCAGCAGACAAGCTGCGTCTATCGGACCTTTCACATCCGAAAATATGATGCTCATTTTCTAGCATTCATCTCACATTAGTGCTACCAGCTCGACTTCCTGAAACCCAAAAGAAGCCCGTCGGGCCAAAGGGCTGTCCGTGGAAGATTACTTCCGATATAAGAACAGGAGTTATAAAACAAAATAAAACAAATGATGAACTCCATGAAGCTACGGTCTCTAACTTCCCAGCACATCTGATGAGGGAAGTGTTTGCATAGTTTTCGGGAGGTAGCAAATAACATTATGATAACAGGAATAATAACAGCAGGAGTTAATGTTAAAATGAAACAAAGTCGCCACAAGGGCCTAGACACATCCCCAGCACCAGGAAAATTATGTAACAGAAGTCTTTACTCAAACAAAGTATACCCACAACAACTGTAAAATCCATTACCTCACAAAGTCCGGATTAAGGGCCGCTGGGCGCGGTCTAGGAAGCGTCTTTTGTCATCTTACCGCTTATGTTATGACGGTGATATAATAACGCGTGTATGCAATGTGCATTCAGGCATCAAAGAGGCATATTCAACGAAAACATAAGGAGCGAGCTAAGCCTATCAAAGCCGGGCACTGAGGCCATGAAATGATGCAACATCAATCCGGCGAGGAATATGAGATGGCGTAATGCAGACTCAGTGACTGCTCCTACGGCGCGAGCCTGCCAGCTTGGCTTCCTGGTCAGACTGGAATGATGATTGTCGATTGAAAACATGCCATCAATCAAATCACTGCCCAAAGCACCAGTGCAATGATAGAGAAGACGCGAAAGTTCCATCGATAGCTGGATCATCAAGTCGGAATTTCCACAGTCGCTTACGCCGTAGCTTCTGGCATTACAGAGCAGTCATGCCCGTGTCCACAAAAAGTCAGATGTCTTAGAAAACAATAACTATATTGCCAAATAACAGTAAAAGATATGGGACGTGCAACTACGTTGTGCTACAGACTGCGAGGAATAGGAGAACAGTGGCTCTTGTGTCACAGAGCAGCGTTGAGCATTAACCTCCGACCTAAGAAAGATCATTAGGCCGATGTTGTGCCTCAATATATTGCGATTCGTTGGTGGGCTCTACGACTGCCATCATTATAAGTTTCATTAGATAATTAAATACTTAATCCGATCGCCCGGAGAAGACCACTTCCAGCCGGAACGATGCCGGTCAGATCCCCGGTAAAGCCTTTGGCAGCGGCCACTAATGCGGCTCAAAGTTACACCAACAATGCCGCCCGGGGTGCCGGCACCGTGATCGGCTTCCTGGTGAAAAGTTTGTCAACTAAGGCTTAATAATTATATCTGTTCCTGTCCTAAGCGCCGACTGTTACCGACAGACCGCTCAAAATCCACCGGAAAGGCCGGCACAGTAAATCGCTAGCAATGTTTTCTGAAGAGTTACGTCAGTACGTAATCTGACCCACACGTAACAGTGATGGTCGGCACCAGAGCTGGGCAAGTGCGTTCCTTTAGTGCGTTCCTGCGTTCTTCCGTACGTACGCACCGCCCTTTTTAGGAACGCAAGAACGCAGGAACGCAAAGTTTTTCAAAGGAACGCAAGTAAGAGGAACGCACCACCCGAAATTTTGAAGCGTTCCTGCGTTCTTGCGGAACCACCCGAAAAATTATATTGCTGCCAATGAACTCTGTGTCAAATGTTTGAATCTCGAGTACGTGTGTTTGCCGGTAGAGGCGCCACTTGTCGGTCGAATCGAGGAAGGCTTGCTTAGATTTAGTGGTGATGTTTACTATTCGATTCGGTTTCAGGCATTAAATGTGTAAATATTTTTAGTGGTGATGTTTACTATTCGATTCAGTTTCAGGCATTAAATGTGTAAAGTAAATATGATAACTTTTACTAAGATACATCTTTTAACTTAACTATTAATTTTAAGCAGGTCGTATTTTTGTTGAAAACCCTACGGATGATATTGGTAAAACGTATTTCAGATATTCGATTCGGAAAAGAGATGTCGAGTTGCTTTTCTGCCCCACGTCGCCATTCTGGGTATTCTGTGATCGATTCGCCCCGTGTTTGGTTGGGCCCGCGCCGCGTGGTTCGGCGGTATTTTTGAGGGAGGAACGCAGGAACACAGGAACGCTAACGCACCGAGCGAAAAAATTTGAGGAACGCTATTCCAGGAACGCACTAACCGCGGCCGGAGGAACGCAGGAACGCTAACGCACTACCGAAAATCGAGGAACGCGCCCAGCTCTGGTCGGCACTACCAACCGTAACCGATTTCCTGTGACTCTCCATAACACTGCAAAAATCACAGCGTGATGCAACAGCGAACGTGACGGAGGCCACGCCGGGATCACGTCCCGTTACCGTCATCTCGTGCAGCGGTCCCCGTCCCCTGATCGTGCGTCCAGCGGCGGGCCGGGGATCCCGTCAGCAGCGAGATCCTCGGACTTGGCTGCGTCACCGACCGCTGACGTCACACAGTTAAACATAAACGGACGACGAATGTTGGACGGCGTCCAGCAACCAGGTCTGGTTCAGGTAATGGAAAAAGTAATATGGAAACAATGTATTGCAGTTTAGCCCTTTATTTAACGCTATTACTGAAACAAAATGGAGCATATGTGCTAGATTTAAATTTGTAACAGTGATTGTAACGTTGCTAGGCGAATTATCTCCGCAGTCAACGAATGAAATAAAATTATAAAGATGCTCCATTTAAGGTGTTTAACGAAACATCTTTCTAATTAATCGTCTTCCCTCCTTCATATTTCCGCTTCCTTAAGACATCAGATAACTAAACGAACTGGAACAGGATGCGCCCGCTTTGCCCAATACATATCGTTGTGCAGCTCTGTCCTGCACTACATGGTGAGATAAAGCTGCAACTCTGGAGGGGGAGGGGCGGCCGCCGACGGGGTTCGGGATTCCCGCGCAGCCCTCTGCGCACCCTCAGCGGCCGGCGTTTATATGCAGCGGCCGTCGGCGGAGACCAACAGACGACCGGTGACCGAGCAGCAGAGAACAGAACCCGACAGTGCTGAGCTACACGCAGACGGCCATGGGGGAGAGCGGCACACTACCAGAGAGCCCGCTGGAGAGCCGGCTGAGCCCGGACGGACACCGCGGCAGCCTCGACGGAAACGAAGGTGAGACTCGAAAGAACACGCAACGTTCATGTTTTGATAAAATTGCCGGAACACCAAATAGCCCTCCCTCAGTCTCAAAGAGATTTCTCTGTCATGCGAAGCAAATCGGGTTCGTCTCTCCAACCTTCATCAATCTATGATCCATACACTAAACTGTCTTGCAGTACCATGAAACATTTTTCATCTTTATGTACATACTCAACATCAGACACTCAGGCAGCCTCTTGACATTCATGGAAAACTGTCAATGGTATCAGGAAAGAAATGGTTCTAACTGAGGGTCACAAACCATCGTTTAAAATTATGCATGGAGCATGGCATCAAATTTGTATGTGTAACACTTCGAATAAGGTATACTTGAATTCAGTGCCCTTCGTAGGCAATCAGTTGGGAAGCGTTAGGAAATATGACCGAAACATCTAAGATAAATAGAAACAGCTTGATGTGGTGTCAGCAATACAGGTCTAAGGTTTTTTAAACAGATTTGATTTTCAAAACCAATAATGCTCTGTGAAGAGCTTTCAGATATCACAGCCTATTATAATGACCTGTCTGATGACATTATAATCCGAAATGAGAATCGGATGTGTTAGGACGTTTTCGATTATCGAGTAGCCCCAGGCATCTATCGTTAATTCTCCAACACCCCAGGCATCTATCGTCGGGTGTCTTTTAGCAGATCCTGTGCAGTGTGCATTCCGGTCTGACGTTTTTCTCTTTTTTCTCCCGACAGATGGCGAGAGCACGGCGTGCTGGTCGGACACGAGCGGCTCCTCGGACCTCTCCGAGTCGGAGCGCAGGGCCGACGGACGCTTCTCCCGACAGCTAGAGCGGCGCAGGAGGAAGCGCGAGCAGCGAGACCTCTGGGCGGCCAGCCTGGACCGGACCGCCCAGGCGGCACACTAGCGCCGCCACACTCAGCGGCGGCAGACGGCCAAACTTCAGGTTACACAACCCACCGACAGACTTCGCCTCTCTTGTCGGGCTCCACGTAGCTCTCGCGCTTATGTCGGGGCTCGGGCTGACTAAATGCATTGCTGACAGTACAGAAATGTGGCCAGTGTGAACAATATTCATCGTGTATCATTACCAGTGTATCGTGTGATATTACCATGTTTTCTGCGCAGCTCAAACTGTAGGCGTAGCTTGAAGTACCGGTTGATTGGACCGTGTGTGGCAGCTACGACTGGCCAAGACGACATTGTTTGTAAAAGGCTATCGGTGTACGTACCAGCTTAACGTACAAAGGCCAGTCACATTTTTTTTTTTTTGCCTAAGACGCTGTTAATACTGCGTGATATATGACAGTGGGTCGCATCGATCATGTTGTTATGTGTACTACGATTGAGTGTAGCATGAACTGTAAATACAAAGCAAAGAACTTGGCAGTAAATACCGTCTCTAGACGAAAAAGCCCTAGCATGATCGAAGCATGCAAACTAAGGACACTCACGCCAAGAAAGAGCTTGATAGTTTGGAAATTACCGGCGATGAAAACACTATATCGCAATTCATAAGTAGGAACTCACCGGCAATGATAGCCCTATCCCGCAATTCAGCCCAGAAATATCCGCCAGTAAGTAGTAACGGACTTACTTGATGTCCTCCTTGGTCCTCTTGGTGTCGCGGTCGCCGTACATGAGGAAGTACTTGTTCATGATGTCGGTGCGCCGGCGGCCGTCGGCATCCGTGGCCGTCAGCGGCGGGTAGTAGGAGGCCAGCTCGGGCAGCTCGCGACTCGGGTCGTACAGGTACGAGTAGAGCGCCGACATCACCATCGAGCTGTCGTTCAGTTGCTGCCGGCGACGGGCGGGCGCGAGGTCAGCGGGACTGCAGCGGGCGAGCGGGGTATGTGCAGGTGATTTATAGAGGAATGGCATGGGATAGCTCTATAGTTTAACTCTGCCAAGTCTGAACATAAGAAAGCATTGCTTTGAGAAAGGTACAAAATATGCTCATGTAACTTGAAGAAGGCATGGATAAAGCTATATAAGCATTACTTTATTGCAACTTTCAATAAGTTTATTTCATCAAAGACCTGATAGTTCCTGAACAATCTGAGGTTCCAGGAGCGACCAAAAAGCACCCCAATTTTCATCTGTCTGGTCCTCAAAAATTCCTTGTTTGCACATCCCTGATTTTACCAACATCCCCACACCCCAGCATAGCTCACTGCTCACCTGCCATCCCTGTGGTGTTTCGGCCACCACGACAGGCACCTTCTTGTAGGAGGACCACTTGACTTCCTTCCTCAGCACAGGGTTGACCTCAATCAGGTCATATGAGATGCCATAGTAGTCCAGGAACGCCCTGACTTTACAGCAGAATGGACAAGTCTGATACTGATACAGTGTCAGCTTGAGACCAGTGTTGTCTCCTGGGATTGATACCTGTCAGAAAAGAAAAAATGAGGCATGGAATCTACATGCTATGGAAAATACATGCCTGTTCAAGATTACAAAACTTGCTCAAATAATATAGAATAAGATGAAAAGTCATAGTTCATAGGACCTAACTAACTAGGCATGTTTTCTTACGAAAATGATAAAATATTAACATTTTCTATACATACAGGGTCCACTGGAATAAGAAACAGAAATTCAATTTATAGCAACCCTATGCTTGAAATGACACTCAGCTGTTGCAGGTATCCTAACGAATAGGCATGCAAAGGTGTACTAGGTAAATAAGCTGTATAGAAAGCATTGAAACACTGATTTCAGATACAGATTAACTAGAACTAGCTTGAATGTAGCATGTACTCTACAGGAACAAACTTCCACAAACTCTGTACACAGGAAAATTAATAATTACCTACGCATCATGTAAAAAATACGCTGGATACAGGGACCACAACAAATATCACCAATGAACTTAGAGTAATGAATTGATATATCAAACAGTAGATTAAAATTCATATTACATGACTGATGTGCTATCAAGTTGGGTTAAAATCCAATGGTTATGTAATGCAATGTGAAACAGGGATTATGTAACAACCCTCCTTGACATCTTACCCTTTTCGATGGTGGGTGTTCGGGCGGAGGCTCTTTGAGAAGAAACTGAGCTCCTGATGCTGGCTTGGCCAGCAGTTTTTTTCGTTGCTCATAGCTATAATATCCATAAGCACCTCCTACACCGATGCCAAGAAGCACGGCCTTTCCAAACACGCCGAGCTTCGGCTTCTTCCGCTGAGTTTCAGAGTTAGTTGATGCACAGCGCACTGCCTCTATTCGGGCCGACGAGTTTCGCAAAAGAATGTCTTTCGTGGAATATCCGGATTTAAGCACATTTAATTCTTTATTTAAAATATTCCGTCCTAACCACAGCGCGCCGGTCACACACCCCTGGCGCGCCATTTTTGTCACTAACGCACCAAATTCGCTGCTGCCTAATCAAAGCAGTGTGCTATTACAACCGCTAGATGGCAGTAGTAAAAACGCCTGCATGTAGGCTGTACCGCAATACACGACTCGCTGGCTTCGAACCGATGCGTTCATAGAAGACACATGAAATTGGCCTCATAGTCACTGGTGAATCTAGGAATGGAGGTAAATATTCTGCAGCGCCTTAATTCGAATTGAAGCACCTGCACCTGCAGCGCCTGAATTGAAGAAAACCACTTTTATTAGGAATGTTTATGCATGCACCTACCTATTGTATTGTATTGTATTGAACAATCATGAGCGATCCACCTTTCCGTGCTTCTATCCTCAGGATACTGAAGTCCTTGTCCTCCACGCCGCAACCCCCCTCCGGGCTGGACAGGCAACTTTATCTCATGCGGGCTGCTCCCTTGGAGCGGCACCGCTGCTCCCGAGGGAGCGCACCCCGTAGCCGGGTGCAGTGATGTGCCTTGGGGCTGGGTGGCCTGTCCTCTGGACGGGCTCAGCCCCGGCGACTCACTAGGGTGCCTGCCCAGACCAATGTCTCCCCCTATATCCTATCATCCTCCCGGCTCTGAAATGGTCTCATTGGACCGAAAGGGCCTAACCCAACAAAACAAAACAAAAACAATGAGCGATCCACATTCTGAAAGTGCGTGGCGATTAGGTACATACCATTACTACCAGCGAGTACTACCTACAGCAGGCCGACGACGTATCGAAATCGACCAGACCGATGTCTCTCATCTCACAATGTTTCCTTTTAGCCCTTGCCATCCTTGAATAAATTTTCCATCGCAATTATCGGTTGTGAGACGATGTGACCCATAATTACATGCAACACAAATTACAGGTACCCACTTCGGCAAGCAAAAACATTGCTTACCCAGCCGGAGTGACCGTTTGTCGGAGTGGCGGCTGCCCGGGCTGGGTATTGGACAATGGGTATGACCTCAGACTTCAGACCTGCTCCTTTGAGGGCAGCCAGTCCCAGCGAGACAGACTGGTGTCTTGCGACGTACCAGTCCAATGCTTATTGCTTAGTTCAATCAGATGCCTATTGGTCAGGCTAGAGCACCAACAATGGGACGTGCTCGAGGAATGTCATGTGTCTACATATGTTCCACTTCACATTGGGAATGAAACGGTTTTGAATGTTTTTGGTTGAGAATGTTTTTGAATGTTTGAATGTTTTTTGGTTGAGGTTGAAGGCCAATGACATTGGCCTTCAACCCTGGCAGGCCGAGGGGGGCGGGTGCCGCCCAGTGGCGGTCGCAGGGGGGCCATCAGGGCCATGCCCCCCCCCCAAAGGCAAATCAGGGGGCCATCATATCATTTGCCCCCCCCCCAAACAACCGATGGGCCCCCATGGGCGTATGGGGCCTTGGCCCGTATTCGATTGTCACGAGGCTCGAGAAACCCACGCCAGCTATTAACAGCTCCCATACCGGTCTTTGAGGGTCCTACACTGACCTCTGAGGGCCCTTCAGCGGCGGTCAAGCGCCCACATTGACCGCTGAGGACCCACGTTGACCTCTGAGGGCCCTCCACTGGCCTTTGAGGGCCCTTAACCCTATTCCTGGCGGGCTCCGCCGGGACAAGAAACTGGCGGGGGGGCGATTCGTCCCCCCCCCCTTCAGATCTCAAAAACTACACATCGCATAGACAAACGGCAAACGGCCCTTGATAGGTCGTTTAAAGATCTACAACTTTTACATAAAAAAAATTTCAGGTCAGGTCAATATTGAGGTCACCAGAGATCATAAACGATAAAATGTTTTGGAATTAGTTACCTATATAGCTTTTAAACTAAGAAACATAGAGACATAAACCAATACATTTTTTGTTGCTCTCGCCGAGGCGATGCGAAATAAGTATGTGATGACCTTCACAGGTCAATTTGAAATTTGACCTGAGGTCAAGGTCAGGTCATTCATTAATGAGGTTGTGGGGTATGGTCATGCTGCATACCAAACGACGCGCCTTGACTAGGCGAGCAGTTTGGTACCACTTACAAGTCTTTAGCACCATCATGTCGTTGATTTATTGACAGAAAAACGATTTATGACGTCACATGACCTCAGATGACCTTTGCCGGTGCCCCTGTCAATTAGCGGCACCAGGATCATCACCGATGAGATAATCTTCCATAATACTGAAAGAATTGGGTGGTTTTGACTCGTTTACACGAAGCAGGAGGCGTTTCAATATTTTCCCATAGGCTTGCAATGTAAAGGTCACGAGTCTGGCCTGACCTTAGGTCACAGATATGAAAATTCTGAGATATACAACTTGCACATACTGGCACCCTAACTAAAACCTGAAGAGAAGAAATTGATCGGTCAAAAACTCTAGCTCTGGCGTGATTGCAAACTTTTCTGAGGTGGGTCACCAAACCGCCTCTGGTGACCTGACCTGACCTGACCCGGCAACTTTTTTTTTGTCAAAATGTGCGCAATGAATGTTTAGAAAAAGTCACCGAGTATGAGCTTTCTGTCTTGCGGCGTTTGGCAATGGCACAAGAAAAACCTGAAGGGGGGCCTTAACCCTAGAACGCCTAGGGGGGGTTGTATCAACCCCCCCCCCTGAGGTTTTTTCGAAGTGCACGCTAAACGGCTTGTCGTAGCGGGCTGAAATTTTCAATACCCTCTGGGGCAACCTTTGCGCATCTTTTGCCGAAAAAAAATTGATCGGGTCATGTCAGGTCACGGAGTTATGACGTCATAAGAGGTACAGCCTCCGGCCGGATTTTCACAAACTGAGTGCCAACGCCCGAGGTTTCCTGCCGGTGGTACAGACATCGGTTGATGGATCGTGATGAAACTTCCCATGCATGTTGGGGCAAGTATTGGCTATCATATGGTATAAGAAATTTGACCGGGTCAGGTCAGGTCACGGAGCTATGACGTCACTAGAGGAACAGCGTCCGGTACTATTTTTGAAAAGCGCCCGAACCACTATTTTGCTAATTCTTGTCACCTCAATGGGAATATGCAGCAATATTAGCTTCTATAGGGAGCAAATGGACCTCCCAAATCCAAAAATACAATCAGATTTCAAAAATTTAAATTTTGATTTTTCGAATTTCTGCCGCCGACTGTGACCTTGCCGACTTCCGGCGCTCTCAACGCGCCATTTTTAGAGCTAGGGAAACGAAATACATACCAAACGATAGAGAATTGATCAAGGAACACGATAGTGAAGGTTTCAAGTCGATATCGCCCGCCGTTTTGCCGCAATCGCCGCCGAAAGTTGAAAAAAAGTCTATTTTTCCGAAAATTTGACCTTTGACCGGTCAAAAGTAGGTCAAATGTTGACCTAGGACCCAAAAATATACCACCAATCGCGAGATCTCGTTGAGAGCAATCCGTTGGTTTTTTCCGCTAAGCTCTACGACCTTCCATTTCGAAACGCCAGGGGGGGGGTCGTAACAACCCCCCCCCCCTGGTCGTTCGTGTTATGAGAAATGGCCTGGTCGTGCGAGGGTTAAGGCCCCCCCCCGCCAGGAATAGGGTTAAACCGGTCTCAGGGGCCCAACCGGCGGCTGAGGGCCTCACACAGGCTCTGGTAGCCTCATTTCTGTCTCAAGACTAGCCTTTAATTGCCTCTGAAGGCCCTGCACTGGATTCTGAAGACCCGATGTCGGCCACTTAGAGCCCGGTTCAACCTCTGAGGGCCTCTCTTGGTCTTTGAGGGCCCTCCGCTGGTCTCTAGGGTCCAACGCCGGCCTATGCCGGTCTTTTAGGACCCCACGCTGACCTCTAAGGGCCCCATGCTAGCCTGTAAGGACCCACATTAGGCTCTGAGACCCCCGCACTGGATTCTGAAGACACAATGCCAGCCTCCAAGGCCCGCATCGGCCTCTGAGGGCCCAACTTGGCCTTTAAGGGCCCTCCGCTGGCCTCTGGGGTCCAACGCCAGCCCATACCGGTCTCTTAGGGTCCCACACTGACCTCTGAGAGCCCTATGCTGGCTTGTAAGGACACATAGTTATTAGCCTCTATGGGCCCCGAACTGGATTTCGAAGACCCGATGCCGGCCTCTAAGGGCCCGCATCGGCCTCTGAGGGCCCATCTTGGCCTTTGAGGGCCCTCTGCTGGCCTCTGGGGTTCAACGCCGGCTCATGCCAGTCTTTCAGGGCCCCATGCTGGGCTGTAAGGGCGCACATTAGCCTCTGAGGGCCCCGCACTGGATTCTGAACATCCGATGCCGGCCTCTTAGGGCCCGCATCACCTTTGAGGGCCCATCTTTGGCCTTTGAGGCTGGCCTCTGGGGTCCAACGCCGACCCATGCCGGTCTTTTAGGGCCCCACGCTAACCTCTGAGGGCCCCATGCTGGCCTGTAAGGACCCACATTAGCATCTGAGTGCCCAAGTCGGTCTCTGATGGTCTCAAACTGCCCTTTGCAGGCCCTGTACTGGTCTCTGAGGGCCCTAAACTGGCCTGTAAGGGCCCAAACCGGCCTCTAAAGGTTTTTGACCTTTTTTGACCTGACCTTGACCTGACCTCCACCAGAAAGTGACCTAAACCGTACCTGATGGTTTTATAACCAACACCATTGAGTTGGAAATGAAAAATTGACATAAAACATTCATGGCACAACCTTAGTAAAGTTGGGTTCATGTGCTGACCTTTGGTGACCTGACCTGGTATTATCAGTGACCTCTAATAGCATCATATGTACTAGGCAACTGACGCCCTATCGCTGATTTCCGACAAAATGCGTTTTACTCGGTGTTATAGTGCATTCCCTAGAAGACCCGTGAACGGTGAAACATTTTATCTTTGACCTGACCTGTGACGTCATCGGTGACCCCGAGGTCAATGAAATTTGGATTCTTTCGACAAATTTGACAGGGCTATCGAACGCCGTTTGAATTTTACGGATCCGTCCAGTAATTTTGGAGATACGGGGGGGGGCAAAAAAATGCCCCCCCCCCCCCACCTCGCGGAAGGTGGCCGGGAGGCCCACCGCCTGCCGGGTTAAACAGCCGTCGAATGACTTTTTTCCCGCAACATTATAGCTCTATTGACACACAAACTATAGACCAATTCGTACAAACATGTCGATAGATATCAGGAAAATTTGGCCATTGATAACCTATTGTGTAACCATACCGAGCGCAAGTATGCTTACTTTCTTCACCATTCCGACGCTGTTTCGAATATAGTTTAACGCGTGTCGCTATAGGCCCAAGAGCCAAGGTGGAAGGGGCTGGGGCATACAAACGCTCTCCGACCCTGTGCGTTTGGTTCCGTCCCATCGTCTTCGGCTCGCGGATCGGCTTCGGCCGGCAGCCGGTGACTGACAACCGGCCAGCGGCTGGTATCGGTAAAAATTCGGAGCTTGCTTTATCTGCTGGAGCAACCTGTCCAAGAGCGTATTTGACTACATGAAACAGTATACAACGCATTTTGACATTAAGCCTTTCACAAACATCGCTAACAAAAAAAAGGGACGACAGCCGAAAGGATGTCAGATCTGAGCAGGTAGATTCAGGCTATTTGTAGAAAGTGTCCTGACACACAGTATCCGTGCTCGGGACGCTGCCTATCAGCGATCGCCAGCGGCCGGCTGTGTGGTGCTATCGGCCCGTCTCCTCGGACACCCGGTCCGGCGGCACTTTCCCCAGCGGCGGTGTACGGTATCGACAGACCTTCAGTCGGCAGCGACGGCCGTCCAAAAGCGGCCGACTCGACCGGCGCGCTCTTAGTGAGGTTGGGAGGGTCACCTGAGGGCGGTGACCTGACTGACCCGGCGATGCCTGACCGCTCTATGGCAGCTGTGGCAGCGGCGGCGGTGGGACTGCTTCTCGGCTGTGCGCTGACGCCTAGGTAAGATGGTGCTGGTGCTATACTGATTAGAGGCTAGATCAACCGTTCATTTTAATGACGCGTGCAAAAGAAAGAGGAATAAAATGGCTAGAACATATCTGATATCATGACCAGTGCTTAGAAAAGGACATTATTTTTCTTTAGTTCATGAAGTGTAATGTTTACGTTGTGTTTAGCACAATTGGTCGTGCGAATCATGTGCTCTTATCCTAATGTGTGGATTTTTTTCGCCCCATTTTCAGAGTGGCGTTGGCGGAGCCGGTCCCGGGGGCAGACGGCATCACGGACGCCATTGCCGCCTCGCTTGGCGCAATTTACAAGCATCAGACCGCTCATAACGGTGAGGGCCCAGCCACGGACGAGGTCGAAGAACACGACGCAGCAGCTCAGGTCGACCTGGGGACACTGATCGGGGAGCTGTGGCCGGCTGCCAGGGCGGCCGCCGAGCACGGACGCGTCGAGCCCTTCCCACACTACGAGCGAGAGGAACGGTCCGGCGAGCCGAGCGCAGAGGAAGCGGATGATGCCGGCTCGAGTTCCCTGCTGCCGCAGATCAGCACCTACTGGCGAGCGCTGAATGCCATTCTCGGGGATAAGGACCTGGGCGAGTCGGGGGTGGTGGACGCAGCGCTGGAACGGCTGTTTGGATCGCAGGAGTCAGACAAAAAGGGAGTGGAGAAAAGCGATGCACCCTCTCCACGCCAGACAAGATCTAAGGGAAGCGCACTGAGTGAAGAAAAGAGTGCACACAAGTCCACAGATTTGCCGAATGTATCTGCTGACTCGACAGCGAAATCCAACAAGACCAACGGCCTGCCAAAAGCTAATACAGAATCAGTTCCAAATAATGCATATGCGTCAGCACTTAGTCCAATCAAACAAGGGGTTTCGGAGGAAAGCAGTGAGTCATTAGAAGTTGCACCATTGGAAAGCTCAACAAACGCTCCCTCTGATCTAATAGAGCAAGAATCAAACTCGGATACAGAAGACGGTGCGAGTAAAGATACGGCGGTCACCAGCGCGGCAGACGAGCCAAGGGAGCACCGCGGCCGGGCGGGCTCCACCTGGTTCCGCCGCCACCAGTCCGACCGAGCCGTCCCCTTCCTGAGCCCGCCGCTGCGGGGACTGGGTGGGGCGCTGGGTAACAGCACCTTCAGCCGCCTGCTGGCCGGACACTTGAACCACGCGGCCCGAAACAGCAGCGGCGGCGCCGGGCTGATCGGCAGGGTGTCCAGCATCAGAGCGCTGGGACGACTGATGGCAGCGCGCAGGGCTGCGGCAGCTAACAGGAGCAACGGCAACGGCACCAGCTCAAATAGTGGCGAGAGTAGACGGGCGTTTAGCTTCAAGGCACTGGGACGTCTTTTCGCAAATCGACAAACTCTCGCCCCTGACGACAGCACCAAAGGTGGGGTAACGAAAAACACGACAAGCTCATCTGGGGACGCCCGAAACCACAGTTCAGCCATCATCGTGTCAGAACAGACTCCTGGGAACGGCACGGACCACCGAAATACCACCCGACGAGCGACCAGAAGACCCAACCGACTGCTCTTCCGTCTGGGAAGCCGAACAGGCGCAGCCCTCAACGCCACGCGGAAGCGGCCGGGGTCCAACAGCAACGACTCTCAGACGGACGCCTGGACCACGACGGCCTCGTCGCTGCTGATGGGGCTGCTGACGCCGGGCCGACTGACTGACACAGTGTCAGAGGCAGTGGGCCGCGCCAGCAGCCGGCTGGCCGACCGGCTGCTGGACCGGCTGACCGGGCCGCTGCAGACGGTCACCGGTCGCGCCAGCAGCGGGCTGCGCCGGCTGCCGCGGCTGCTGGCGCCCGCCCAGCGGCTGGTGATGGGTCCGCTGGCCGAGCCGGTGCGGCCGCCGCTGGCCTCGGCCCGGTCGCGCCGGCCACGCTCCGAGCTGGAGCGGCTCCAGCGTCGTCTGTACCACTCGGAGAGCGTGCAGCGCGCCTCTGCCGCCGAACTGGCGCGGCTGAGGCGCAGGATGGTGGAGCGCCGCCTGGCCAGCCGCGCCCACTGGTCCGTAGCGGCGGCAGAGAGAAACGGCGACATGCTGGCCCACCTCTGGACCCTGCAGCCCTGACCAGAGCTGGCATCGTCTGGGAGACGGAAAGGAGCCGAGTGTCGTAGTTATCGCATTTAATCTGTCGTTGAAATAAGAATCGTAAGCCGTAGTTTCGAAGGCCTTCTTTGTTCCTTTATTGGCGCTTTGCGGCGCTCCGAGTTTTGAAGTCCATTAAATGAACAGATACGAGCGTAAACAGCTTTAAATAACATGTGTCTTCAAGGGGAAAGATTAGCCAATGTCACTGATCAGCACCCAACAAAATATCTTTCAGCAAAATATGTCATAAACAGTTTTGGAGAGGATACGGTTAACGGTATGGGGCAGTACAAGTTAGAAAGACGGCTATTATCTGGTAACAACTGAGCACAAAGGAGCCTTTTCCATGTTCATGATTAGTGGATGGAATAAGGAATGCGTACTTCTGCGACTAGCGCTCGACTTGACTCACAGCTGTCCCCGGCAATCCGACGGCGTTTTGTCGGACCTCGTGTGATCCCAGCTTGAAGTGAATAGTCTAGGCTTGCGACCGACGGAGAAAAAAAAATACGATATTTGACAAGTGGCCAATGACCCCAGAAAAGATAAACCAATATCCAAACCATTTTATTTGAGAAGATGGGCGTGATAGACCAATAGCTACCGAAACATGCCTGCTATTTTCGTCAACGAGAGTTTGACACAACAATTTTCCATTTTCCTGCGCCCACAAAGGATTCACTGTACAACATCTATCGCCATTCCAAGCATATGTTAATCACGTGAGCCTGGTCGCCTGCTCTGGCGACCTGGCATGACCAAGCAATAGCTTCAACAGCGGTACGGCGCACCGTCCATCGGAGGCCCGCGGCCCACACCGGGCCCCGAGCGGCCCCCCTCTCACTGCCCGTACCGCGCGACACTGCACCGACACCGTACTGACACCGACACCGGGCCGATACCGACACCGGGCCGGTACCGACACCGGGCCGGCGCCTGCGCCTGCGACACCGGCGACTGCAGCACGATGTGTGTGTAAATAGAGGCAGACGTACCCGGCTGTCTCTCCTCCTGTGCCGCCGCGGTCCGACGGCCAACAAACAGTCGATAACGGCGTTAAATCTGTGGACAGGTACAAACACAGGTGTCATGACTGCTACACAGAGACAACGCCGCGCAGTAGACGAGGCTTACTTGTGCAGAAGGTTAGATAGACAAGATGAACCGGAAGTGCCACAAATCAAATGCTATATCAACAGCCGCGGCTATCGAGTGTAACTAGTGAAAGTCTACGCATCATTTATTCCAGTGCATTATCATTAAAAACATCCACATATTGTCTTCTTTACATAAATAACCTCATCCATAGATTTTCAGTTCCGAGATAAAAAGGACAGTTAAGATTTCGTCACCAAAAGATAAACAAATGAAAAATCCGTATCACCCCTTGCCCAATCGTCGTTATAAAAAAATGCCCATTCCCAGACGGTCAGTTAAGACGCAAACAGACATCTTATCTCTAAATGGCAGAATCTTTATCGCAACTAACACGAAACCGTTCCCCTTCCCCGTTATCCGAGGGGTCTGGAGGTGATAGCGCGGGAGCAGATAAGGCAAATTACGCAATGTCTAGGGGACCGATACGGTAATCTATGGTGTCGAGAGACGTTTACGGAGAATCTGTCAAACTGACTAAGAACATGTTAGATTGTCCTTATTTTAGGGATGAATCAGTAACAGCCACAAACTACTTCAGCTTTTAATATGGGCCAGACCAGTTGTCTATTCAATGTTAGATATATAGATCATTGAAAAACAATGCATGGCTAGACATGTTATGTTAATAATAATTGTTCACTGAAAAACATCATGCAAGTTGCATATTGCAAAATGCAAAGCCAAATGAAACTTATTAAAACATCTAATCAATGACACCATCAAAGTCTGCATGAGTAAAACTGATGCTCAATATGCCAGCAGCCCCGATATCGAAGCCAGCGCCCCCTGACGGTACGAACGGAGCGCTCCCGGTCGGGGACCGTCGCGGCGGCGCCACTCACGTTGTCGATGTCGTCGTCCGAGTCGGAGTCGTCGCCGCCGACGTCGTTGAACTGGATGTCGTCGTCCATGCCGTCGCCGACGAAAGTGCCCGCCTCGGTGATCTGTACAGAGTCGGGGATCTCGCCGTACGTCTTCAGGTTCCGCGCCTCGTCGTCGTTGTACTTGAGGATGACGTCGGCCTTCTGGTCCTGAAACTCGCGCAGCCCCACCAGCACGATGTCGCCCTGGTTGATCCACACCTTCTTGCGCAGCTTGCCGCGAATGTGACACAGGCGCTTCACGCCGTCGAAGCACATCGCCTCCAGACGGCCGTTACCCAGCATCTTGGCCACTTGGGCGTACTCTGTGGGGATGTGACACAGCGTGAGTCGTGGGACACGGTGCCATTGCAACTACTATGTGGTGAAAGACTGTTTTTTTAGTCTTGACAGTTTCCAACATAAGTAAATGACTAGAACACCAATAGACACCTTTGTTTTTACTTTCAGCTACACTTACTGTGATGCAAAAGTCCTATCACAGTTACATCCATTATACAATGACAACTATTTTTGACTAGGCCTAGACTATGATCCCCCGACAAAAATGAAGGTTATGTAGTTATATCATGAGTTAGTTATGACTTATGCCCATGTCATTTCATAGCCCACGCAATTAAAAATGGAAGTGACAGGCTGGATGTGCAAATTCATCACAAACCAAATAGCTTCTTGAATTAAACTTACAGATTAAGTAAGCACAATATGGCTTCTGGAAATGACATAAAAACAAAATAGTTTACACTACTGCCAGATCCAAATGCAATGACAAATTTCAGCATATAGCTCCTACAGAATGTAATACACCGGTAAAGATTTGCAATTTTTTCAACTTGCCCCATGAAAAGGCCTAACAACTAGTAAGTAGGCAGAAGAAACTGTCCCTAATTGCAATACAATGCATAAGAGAAGCAGCATCCTAGGAGAACTTGATAATAAGGACATTCGTGGGGGAGGGGGTATCCACTGATTAACCTGATGCCACATTTATGGATCTACCAGTGCTCATAAAGACCACAAAGTTTCAATTCAAGAACAGACAATATCAAACAGGTATAGCAGCATGCATATAAGGCAAGCTTTCATAATAATTCTCACATATGGTCATTGAGGTAAGTAAAAGCAAGTAACCACAAGCTTAAAATGCTTAATGCTATTACAATTTATTGAATTTGATGAGGCAGTTGAAAGAATGTTGACTGGTGTCAAAATTAATTTGACCTTGTGCATCAGATTTAGCATGTTGTATCTTATGCTTCCCTTACCATGAAATATGCCTAGTTTTAGCCCTACTAACGAAACACATTGATGTACAAAAGATGTTTCACAAACTCAAGAATCTTCCTTGGCTGGTACAACTAGGATCCATGACTACTGCCCCTCCACCACAACATTTTTTGTGACACCAGGGAGCTGACAGGCAAGTCAGCCACATGAGTTGTAGGTACCTATACTTTTAGTTTGGAAAATCATAAGAAACAATAAACTGTAATTTAACTAGTGCAGAATGTCATTTAAAAAAGGTTAATTTACCATAGAAATAATGTAAAAATAAACTTACCTTGACCATCTTCTTTGAAAATCAGCTCTCTCTTGTCTGCTTCATTCTCATTCTTTCCCCTCCTCCTGTTCTTTCCTCCCTTTCCTGCAAGACAAGAATACAGCATCAAAAGTTATTGTTATTGCATATCAGTTAATTCATCCTTGGCTAAAAAAATGAATAAACAATGCAAATTCTCGCGTGAAACCGAAAAAGAGCCAAGTCTGCAGACACCCGCAAACAGGTGGACTGGTATTCAGCTCCCACTTACCCTTATTCTTCGGCATGATTTGTGCCTAGCAAAGAGACAATGATAAGGATAAAAAACTGATTCTACAACGCAAACACAATGCGTTTCCAGAAAATCGTGCCTCCTAAATTCGCCCCAGACGTCCACGGACACACACAGCCGACCACGCAATGCTTGACGCAATGGCGGCTAAAGGAAGTCGCTCAGCTGACTCACGACAGCATTGCGCAAAGTGTCTGTGGCGCAGAAGAGGCAAATGCTGCGAAACAGATAATTTTGGGTAATGAGTGACGTATTAGTAAGGTAATTGTAGCGTTAATTGTAGTTCAATTTGTATTTATATGTACAATTATAATTTAATAACATTAACATATTAATTTTTTTTATCATGTTACAATATTTGAGGAAAAATATTATAATAAAAATAAAAATAAAAATACGTCATTTACATTATTTATCTGCCAGCAGTCCACATGCTTAGCTCACGCCTTGGCTCACGATGAGCTCACGGCTCGTTTATTTGGCTTGGCCCGTTTCGCTCACTTGGCTCAAGCGGCTCAAGTTTTATATTGTAGCTCATCGGAGCTTAAGTTTGGCTAATAGGGCTCACGCGAGACGCATCACTTTTCTAGCTCAGCTCACTCGGAAGCATTGGCTGAGCTTCAACCAAGCCTATATAATAACCACTTAAACTTAGCTCAGCTTCTTATTTGTTCAGACGTCCACTAGCTCATGGGCGTGCAGCCTGGGCTCAAGTTTCAAGTTGAAGTGTTTTTGCGTGTTAGGCTCAATAATTTGATTCGAACTCAAGGTTAAAATGGACCTAGCATCATGGAAGATAATAATCATTGTTGTTCTTCTATTGCTTCCTCTCGTGTTCACTCTCCTACCATTTAAGCTTATCAGATATGTCGAGCATGCAGATGATTCTCAAAAGGACAGGTAGGCAGTTTATTTGACATGATGGTTTTGTGATTTGCTGTCATTGACATGGATGTGAATTGTGATGTTGATGTACTACCTACTCAATGAATCATATTGGATTCATTTTGGGAGTATCTATACCTTATGAATGATTAGAAGTTCTCTAGCCCGCTGGCAGTAGGTAGGTTCCTAACAACAGTTTCATGGCTAAGCTGATATACTTCAAGATAATATGTGACTTCTCTGCATAACTAGATCAACTGTCTGTTGTTTTATGCTCTGCTTTGTGAGCTTCTTAACGAGGTATTGTTGGTTCATTTGTATGTTTTTTTATCATTTTAATGTTGATGCCCGTTTTCAGATTGTATCGGATCCTGAGCCTGCTGAACTGCTTCTCTGGAGGTGTGTTCCTGGGCGCCTGCCTCCTGGACCTGTTCCCAGACACCCAGGACATGATGGACAGCATCATGGTGCGTATATCATCCAGCTTCAGCTTCCCAGTGGCTGAGTTTACTGTGGCAATGGGCTTCTTCATTGTGCTTATTGTAGAGGGTATAGTGGCGAGCTGTCACGGCGCCAGCGGCGGCGTCGGGCCGGGAGGGGACGTCGAGGAATCTGAGCCGCTCATCAGCGGCGCGGCGGTCAACTACGGCGCCGCCGACCGGGAGGAGGCGGACGCGGACGGCCACGGCCACGGCCACGGCTCCGGCCACGGCCACTCGCACCTGCCGTCGGGCCAGGCCGGCATCCGGTCGCTGATGCTGGTGCTGGCGCTGTCGCTGCACTCTGTGATCGAGGGACTGGCCATCGGGCTGCAGGAGAGCTCCGACCAGCTGCTGCAGCTGTTCGCCGCCGTCGGCATCCACAAGGGCATCCTGGGCTTCTCGCTGGGCCTGAGCCTGGTGCGCGACGGCTCGCTCTCGTTCTGCCGGATGCTGACGTCTGCGCTGGTGTTTTCCGGCGCCTCGCCGCTGGGCCTGGGCATCGGCTGGGCGGTGACGGACGCGGGCAGTTCGCTGGCCGGCGACACGGCCAACGCCGTCCTGCAGGGCGTGGCGTGCGGCACCTTCCTCTACATCACCTTCTTCGAGGTGCTGCCGCACGAGTTCCGCGACAACACAGACCGCCTGCTGCGCACCCTGTTCGTGGTCATCGGCTTCGGCGTGGTCTGCTGCGTGCTCTTCTTGGATCCGGACGTGCGCACGCCGAATAGCGGTGGCGGTGGCGGCTCGCCCTAGCTGAGACTCAGATCACTTCGCTCTTTGACTGCTGACATTGTTTGAGTCGGTCGTGGCTGAGGCTATGTCTTATTAGTTAATGATCCGCTGCAACGCCAAAAGACAGGACATAACCATTAACCATGCACCAATTTCTCAGGAATGCGGTGTGGGAACAATTGGAATTAGTTCAACTAGTGAACATCAAAATGGAATAACTCAAGTGGCACAGGGTCTCGCTGACATTTGACTCAACCCAAAGAATTAGTATTTGTCATTCCCATCTCAGACACTGTGTAATGCCAACTGATAACAAAGGAGAATTATTTTTGCTGGGTGTACTACCGAGTGTCCATGTTCAGCGTACAAACCCTCACTTAATGGCGCAAATCTCGTATCGATATAACCTAGAAGTCATAACTAGCTGTAGCTTCAGTGTGCCTCGCATTGGGTAGTGGATTAGTCTGTCACTTAGCATCGCACTGCGTCGTGATCATTGGAGTGCCTCGGCTGTTCATTGGAGTTGGTTGTCGTAAAGGGACCTGTGTGTCGTGAACTCATCGCATCCATTCAAATGTGACAGTTTCTCATTGTGATTTGGTGGCAGGAGGGCTATATCGTAATTCGTATAGCTGCATTCATTATTACGGCTCATTGACCTTCATGTTGGGATTTGGAAGTGGTCGATGTCTGATTGTGGAAAGAAATGCGCAAAGATGTTCATTTACAGGTGTTGTATTCGATGACTAATTAGTTTTTCCTGATGCCTCCCTATTGTTCATATGCTAAAGTTTCCTCATCGGTCAACAGCGAGGTTCGGTAGGTGGTCTCTAAATGCGGTCTCTGTTGATGTTGGTAGGCTTGTGTCAGATCGTGAGTTCAGGAATTTGATTGCACGTTATACTTGATGTGGGCTTCCAAATTTTAGATCTTAGGTCATATATTTTAATAATTCAATGGGAAGCCCAGCCACGTATTCCGCTACTTATCATTCGTCTTGGGCTGCGCCAACATTTATGGGTGGAGTTATTTCATTCGTGTTAGTTTGTGCATGCCGTATGCGTTATGCCCAGGATGCCCGTTTTGTTTCCTTCGCTTTTCCGCTAAATCAAGAATGGTTTTCCAGTTTATTAATTTATATGTTCGGGATGTACCTATAGCATGTTTTACTATGCATACTTGCTTGTCATATGCAATTCTTTATTGTATTTTAGCCATGTAGCAATGTATTTTAAGAATGCAATGCCTTCCCAAGTGAATATCTGACTACGTCTGCCTGACGTGGTCGCACGTATACTCCGCGAGATGAAAACGAGCGATGTTTCTGGTGCCTGCGGACATCTCACCGGCCCGGCTCAGGCTACTGTCCTAATTAGTTCTCTGTCGCGGTCGCACAGCCTGCGCTGTGCTACTGAACGGTTTGTCGATCCTAGGTAGTTTCTTGTTTCTGTACACTTACACTTACAGTTCAAGCTAAGACTAAGCTAAGACATTTGGAATAGCGAGGCAGATCGTCGAGCAGAACCACTGGCCGTGTGCCCTATGTTACAGAACCCGCGATGTTTAGCTTTATCGTTTATTTGGGGAAAGCTGTGATATGTATTATCTTTCATTCATATCTCAATTGTTTTTATTGTAATAGAAGTGTAGCGAACAATACAGTTTAAAATGTCACTTGATTTTCTATCGCCATGATCCCGCCTCTTTTGGTGCGCTGTTGTGAATTGTACGCTATTAGGTTGACTGATAAGCCTGCTGTCGCTAACCCGTATCTCTTCCACAACTGCGTTGCTGTCAACTTTTGCCTTTTACTCTGATCCCAGTGTAATATGTTGCTATAAGCTATTGCTGGACAAGGCCACTTAACGAGATTCAACATTCACCGAAGTGTATTTACGCATTGGCAACGTTCCAGTTCTTCTCTTGGCTCCCTGATGTTTTAACTCGAACACTATGACTTTCTCTGCCTTCATTCCTAGGAACAATGACCTGTTGATATGCAAAGTTATAACGTCAGACTGGTAGAGCCTGCCCATAAGTACCTACGCTTATATGATAAAATACGATGTGAAACCGTCAAATACCGCATAGCAATGTTGGTAGGTACACATAAAATGGCAATGTCAGGTAAAACACTTCAAATATCAGGAAGGCTAAGAACAGACCTACATCGTCACACCAAAGAGAACAATGAGTCACAGCAATTGGTGGCGGGATCATGCTACCTTAATTCGATTTAGAGCACAATCGATATTCTTTGGATCGATTGATTTAATCAGCAATGCGTTCACAAACACTGCTCCAGTAGTGCCCGCTCGGTGTGATTTAATTCTCCGGCGCTGGCCCCAACTAAAATTTCTGAAAATACTTAACGCCTGATCAAAGCTGAATTGGAAAAGTCGTCCCCTAGTTAGATCACCGCCCTTAGTTCCATACCATTATTTAGACATCACATTTAGGGCAAAATGTACGCTTACTACCTACGTAACACACCTGCAAGACAAAAATCGGATATGTTGGTTTCTTTCACACCGACCTATCAGTGGCGTGACCCGACGCTAGTGGCAGGGATGCCTCTCCTCCCTGCCATCGCGCCTGGCATTTCCACGGTTCACACAGAAAACACTGAGTGAGCACACCGATAACCTATGACCGTCTCCGACGCCTCGATAAAACAGGATTGGATGGCTGACATTTGACAGAAGCCCGGGCTGCTGGTGGTGATACCGCCCACCGGTGTCGCGGTGTTCCGTCCGTGTCGCACAACCCCGGTCCCCTTGACCGTCTCCCCACCGTCGCTCAGCGCGAGGTGCCAGCGTCAGGTCGAGGTCGGCTCACATCGGTCATGTCCTCCGCCGACACGAACTTGTCTGCCGACCGGTGCGGTAGCGGCGCGTCCTCGCCGCCGTCGGCAGCGGGCAGCAGGTCCAGTGCCGAGACGAACTTGTCCAGGGTAGCGGAGAGCAGCGCGCCGTTCTTCGCCTCCTGAGTGGTGGCGCTGGCGGAGGCCGATGCCGCCCGGCTGTTCTGGGCAGACGGCGCGCGGGACGGGTCGGCGCTGAGCAGAGCGCCCTGCTGCATCTGGCGAACCAGCGA